TCGTTTGGGAAATGTCTCCTCACAGTGATGGTGTAATCGTGCTTTACAAATCGATCCCCGCGGGAGGGGAGGGGGTGGTATATTATGGAACACTGGGCCGAAGTGTAAATATCGAATTATTTCGAAGCGGCAACAAGCTAGGCGGTGGTAAGAGTGCACGCCCTGCATCCGCTACCCGTCGAGAACCTCCAAATAATTGTCCTCCGAACAACGTTACTCCTCGCGATGTTGTAGATTGTAGCTTTACAAGTCGATCCAAGGGCAGGGGGGTGGTATCTTATGTCACGTCTGCTGTGTTTACCGAAAGAAAAAGATATGGTGAAGCATTGGGGTTTCAGTACGACGCCCACGCGGTTTGCATTATCGTTCAAAGTATTTCGCCCAGGGACCCCTTGTAAGCCCCGCGATTTGTTAGCCCTAAGTAGTTGCGGCAGGGTGTACGGCATTCCCCCTTTTCTCTGCTACTGCCACAGCAGTAACCGCTGTGGCGTGGGTACTCGCCTGCAGGTTGACGCGACTGACCACTTGTGCGTGGAACTGCCCGCACGTCCCGGCTCCCTCGGGGTCCTCCTGCCAAGTGACCAGCGGCTCCTGGTGCTGGGCCTGTGCCCTGTTGGGACCCAGTTTGCGGCTGCTGCTGCTGTTCCTGCTGCTGCTGCTGCTGTCCCTGCTGCTGCTGCTGTTGCTGCTGCTGCTACTGCTGCGAAGGATGAATTCCCGCAAGCGCAGACTCCTCTTGGTTGGGCGTCTGCCTCGACTCCGTTGACCTGCGGGCCCGTTTCGCTAGGGGGCTGGTCGAGCCTTCCATCTGGAGAGATCCTGTGCTAGTGGGTGGCGTCTTATGCTCCCTACTGCGGCTGTCGGGGCTGTGCACTGCTGTGGAAGGGGCCGTCCCCAGTTCGTATAGGTTTTGTGGGCTTACATGTCCCCCCCCCAAACATGCATAATTTTCGACGGTTCAGGCATTTTTTTTTATTTTTTTGTTACGATTCAGAGGCCTATTTTTACCAGGCTTGTCTGGGCACCCTTAAGGTATAGTCTACGTCGTGCGTCGAAAAAAGACCAAACTTTACACACACCCTAACTCCACGTTGAACATATATCCGCATGCATATTCTGCTGCGGCGATGTTACTCATTACGAATAACCAGAAGACATTGACTCCTAGTCGACCGCACCGTACACGGTCGCCTTTCAACAGTCCTACGCAATTCAAATTCTCAAGAACACTGGTCGAACGCACCACCACAAGGCACAGTTTTCAGCAGTCAAACACCTAAAAGTACGAGTACGTCTACCTAGCTGTTCAGGTCATTATTGCTGCAGCATTCACAAATATCGCTTTGCGTCCTTTCCAGTGACATGCACATGCCAGCACCACGTTCCAGCGTCTTCAACCAGGTTGTCCGTTGTAAGATTCTCTTCCTCAAGCTTTGCGTTGATTCGTAGACCCGTGTCCAGCAGCTTGATTGTGTGTGAAGTCTCCCTCTCTCCAACCCCTTCCACCGCTTGTGTTACCACCGCAAAGTGCCATCCTGCACGTTTGGTTATTCTGTAGTAGATGTACAATCCGATCATATCAGGAGTAGAAATGTTGGGCCTCCCCCGTGTATCGCAACATATCTTATACCCGGTCGCCACATGTCTCCCTCCCGCCTTGTGAGCAACAGCTCTTTTGGCAAGCTGAATACGGTATCGGCGGTATTTGGCATTTCCCCCCGCCACTTGCTCAGTTAGGCTGATCCGCCCAATACTTCTGTTCATGATTGCCGTATCATTGCAATTCTCCTTCATGTTCCCAGGTGTTTTGCTCCAACCCTCTCCATTTCGTCCAGTACTGCACTGCGGTCTTTCCTCCCAGTCCTCGACAGATTATATGTTTCTCTTCTATTCAAGTGGCCTCTAGACTGCGACTGTCTTTCTCCTCAAAAATGTCCTCCATAGCAAGACGAAACGGAGGCGACAGCTCGAAGTTTTGTTTAGGATGTACTTGTTTATGTTCCACGGCAATAGCCTCGGTTTCTTTTGTCCTCCGTGTGGGTTGTAACACTCTTTGCATCGGCTAACTGACACCCTTCGAGTGATGTCCCCCCCCGGCTCATCTTTCTTGATGTCCAACAGTAACAGCTTTGGTCCCACCTTTTCAATGATCGGACCCGATCACCCTTGTCCAACTTCCAAGTGTCCTGGTCCAACCAACAGTACTATATAGGGTCCCGTCCAGCAATGATTGAGCTTGCTCAGAAAGGAATTGGACTTCCTGCCGCTAAAGTCGCTCTGCGGTTTCAGCACGTGCTGGCCACTCCCTGCGACGGTACTCTTTCCGTCATTTACCAAGACCCAATCACCCGCTTCGATATGCGGTTTGTTCTCCATGATGGAAGCCAACTTCTCCTTGTTTTTGTCATGTTTGGCTTTTTTGAGCTTATGTTCTTGCCTAACTAGCTCATACGCCTTGACCTGCCGATCTCTCGTCAGCTCAAGATAATCCATCTGATCTTAGTTAATCCTTGGTGGCCTCTCGCATCTCGTCCTTGTAGAGTCGTCATAGGCAATCTCAGGTATCGCCCGATGTGAACCAAATTCGGGGCCAACCCTGTTCCCCTGCTAACGTTATTGTTGCGAGCAGCAACCGCATCTCATCCCAACCCCCAGAATATCTGCTATCAAATGTGACAACATCGGACACAAGGTGTGCTTCAGCCGTTCGACCATCCCGTTGGTCTGGGGATGATACGCGCTGGTGAACTTTTTCACTGACCCAAGCATTTTGAACATACCCTTCGCTACGCCTAGCGCGAATTCCGGTCCCCTGTCAGACGAAAAGGTGTGGGGGCAACCCCAACGTGGAATAATATCATTTACCATGATGGCCACGAATCCTTTCGAGTTCTTTTCCTCTTTCTAAATCGCATGTCCGCTTGCATGTCTGCTAAAGAGATCCACCACCGAAAATATATACTCATTGCCATGCTTTGTTTCATGCAAGGGGACCAAAAAGTCAAAGGAGACCATCTGTCCCGGCCTACTCAGAAACGGTAATGAAACCAAACGCTATCGTGATCCATGTCTAGGGACCTCCCGAAATTGGCAAGCGTAACACTTCCTGCACCACCATCGAACACTTTCCGCCATTCCGACTCACCAATAGACACGTTGCAGTAGTGCCAACGTCATATTTCCTCCTTAATATACTACCTCCGTGTGCGCACAATCCATCACCCAAGGTCTCAACATCAGTGGCACCTACGTCCTCACTGGCTCATCTCCCAAGACGCGCTTAAACTGTCCCGGCCTCCTGTTCGGCCGTTCAGCGGGCATACGAGAAGGACGTCGGACCAACAACTGTGTGGAGTAAGCTAATGCCATGATCGTTCCTTATGACACTAATCGTTTAATTTCATCCACTTCCACTCCTTCAGGAAACTTCCCTTCCTCAATGTCTGCCGCCTTCACGTCTTCTGCGATCAAGTCTAAGGCGACTCGAGAGGTTTCATCTCGTCTCTACTCCTGGGCCCGTTCACTTTCAGGCTTTTGCGGCAAATGTTGCCCAAACGTTCTTGCTTCATCACTGTACAAGTCGCATGTTCGCAAACCGAGACCTGCTTCCTGGCCCAACTGATTATGTCCTACAACCGTTCCTGGTGCAGCACTGCTATCTCCTGCAGCTGCTGGTCCCGCACTGCTCCCACCTGAATTACTTACACCTCCCCCCGGGGTAATCGTGTGCACTTGTTGACTTGACTCAACTCGCAAAATTTTGCGACCGATTTCGGTAATGGGGCATGCAAATAAAATTGAGCTTGGCTCCCACTGCCCGGTTACCACTTGTCGTGGGTCTATCAACGAAGGATTATCTGGCCACACCGTTGTTCAGAGGCAAGGCGATGTCTGGTCTCGTGAGCATCGTCCACATCAGGGACCCGATTGCCTCCCTCACCGGCTTGTCCATCGCGGGCTCGTCATCTCTCTTCTGCCCTAGGTCAGCATCGGCGACAGCAGGGGTGGAAGCGGTTGTAATGACGTTGGACCCTTTCGATGTATGCAGTCTGAGACAGCTTGGTGATTCCACTCTCAAGACCCATCTCGATCGCACACCCGTTGTACCACGTGCACTCTCCCAAATATTTCATCGGAACCTTCTTCTGGAAGGAGACGAGCAACTCCTCTCGCTCTTTCTCATCCGCTACCAACGTGATATTGTCTACGTAGATCACGATCAGACGCACGATCTCTCCGTCGACCATCGTAACCGTTCTCGATGAGGGCATCGGCAGCGTCAAACCCCCATTCACGGCCACTCTGCTTCAGACCATAAGATGAACCTCATGTATGTCTCCTCTTTGAGCTTGGCATGGGTGTACGCCTGCTTGATGTCCCAATGGACAAATATTTATGTGCTTCTCGGTGGCGACAGCTACCAGTAGACGCTGAGGATGAGTGGTGAAAGTCTACACCGGGGATCTGGGTGAAACCACGCGCAGCCATATGTGCTTGAAAGCAACAACTAGGCCCTTCTCAATTTTCTTGTACACGAAAACCCACTTCGCCCTTATGGCCTTTCTCCCGTCGGGTAGCCTGTTAATCCTTGTGAATGTCCCCGCCTTGTCATGACCACCAATTTCGTTCTCCACCGCCGTTTCCCAGAACACCTTGTACTTGGAATTCAACACATCCTTTCACGTCGTCGACACAGCCCTCTACATCGTTAGGTTCTGCCCGATTGGCGAGGGAACACTTAACTCTGGTTCAGGGGAACCCGTGGTCCTCGACCTCGGCATCGAACGCTTGCTGTTCTGGGTCGTTGGACTGGAGCACGTTCTGCATCTCGCGCCTGTACAGCTCTTCCATGCTTGCACGGCGCTCCTTGTCCTCCTCCCAGTATTCCTTCACCAGCGATTCGCAAACGCTGTCCCCGACGATCTACGCCCTGTCTCCAGGGCGGTCGCCAGCAACGCCTCCTCGGGGTTCGGCGCCTCCTCAGAACCCTGCAGCTCCCGGGTCTGCTTCCGCGTGCCGCCGCGCTCGAGCGCGTGGCGGAGCTGTCCTGCACTCGAGGTTCCCCACAGAAGTATATTCCCTTCTATTTCCGGCGGGTAGCAGCTGTCGGCGGGATCGAACTTGTACTCCTCGAGGTTCTCGGAGTCTTCGCCGGGTTCCCTGCCGCCACCACCGTCTTTATCAGGGTCGCCAGGCTCGCTGCCGCCGGCGTCACCGGGGCAGCTGTTGCCGCCACCACCGTCGTCGTCGGGGCTGTTGCTGCTGCTGCTGCTGGCTGTGGGGTTGTTGAAGTCATCATCAGCACGGAAGTCGCCCCCTCCCGAATGGGGCGACCGGGGGACGCTACCTCCACTATCGTCCCATTGGATCCTGTTGCCGGGTACCGCCGGCGCCTCTACCAGCGGTGTCGCCTGCCCTGGCCCACGAGCGTCCGCCACGACGAGGTCGGACTCACTCCTCGAGTCGTTCTCCGCCCCTCTCATCTTGACATGACGCGCTCTCGCTGCTCTTGCCCTCGCTCACCTTTGCCTTTCCCCTTCTCCACTTCTCCCGGATCGCCTTGTACTCGATCGCGACCTCCTTCAGCACATCGTCCAGCGTCAACGTTTCCTTGTGCCGGAGAGCGTGCCTAGTCATGACATACTCATCCGAAAGGGCGACCAAGGAAAGGTGGTGGACAAAGTTTCGTTGACTTCAAGTTCCCTCTTGGATAGGGATTCAGCAGTGTCAAGCATCTTGTTCAGTGCCTGTTGGGTTTTCAGCAACGGGGATCTTCATGGAGGGCAGGGACTGTAGATCGTCTGCCGTTAGCATGGACGATTCTGGGTCGTATATGCCTATCAGCTCTCGGAGCGGTATCTGGGGCGTGTGTGCCCTCTTCATGTTTTTTTTTTTCACTCTCTTCGTCAGTGCATGGGTCAGGAAGCTTCATGCATGAAAGCGAGCAGCTCCCCCATCTTGCGTGAAACTAGACTTGTCACCAGCATCGTCAGCTGGCTGATCTTCTTCAACAGCGAGCCCATTTCCGCTTCAGACTCGTGACCTCTTGTTGAGCTTCCCGTCGCGGGATCGCCGGAGGCGTTACTACCTCCATCTTCACATCTTCACAACCCGCCATTCCTAGTGGACTCCCTCGAGGGAACGACACTAGCGTGTTTCTATTGTCCGTTACTTAGAAGTGGGAGGCTCGTTTGATCTCTTGCGTGGACACGCAAGGGAGCGGGGAGAGATGGGCCCTCCATGAATTTCGAGGAGGGAGGGGCACACATTTTATCATTTCAGGTATACAACACGCTCCTGTTCGCGTGCCCTCCGCTGTTGCCGGTAGATCTAACATGGGGAGCATTTCTACCTCGTACGAAGAACTGGGGCCTGAAAAAAAGGTCACTCGTCCTCACGCCTATGTGTTGAATCACATCTGAGAGGGAATACGGATAAACTACGGCCGTCTCACAACTTACCCAACGTCTAACGCCCCATGGTACGAGGTCGTCGCGTACGTTCGGAAGCGGGACAAACGGTGGCGCCATGTGATCACAAGAAAAAAGTGGTAGTAAACAGGAAAGAAGAGGTTGATTGGAAAAGCGTAGCCGTTTGGATTGACGTTGGTCGTGCACAAACTACTGTTTCCATTCAACTATGCTGTGTTTTACCAACGTGCCGGACAAACTTTTGATAACGTCCGGCGAATTTTCTACTTCAGGTGCTGGTGAGAGTAATGATGCCGGCGATTTGACTGTAGACTCATGCATTACGTGGAAGGCTGTGGCGGAGAACACCGGTTGCACAGGCATCGACGGTGTTGTCAGTCTCCCTTACACCGAGTACAACTGTAACCAAGGTGAGATCCCCGACTCCAAAGTCAAGATGTCGGGGGATTTCAATTTGGATACAGTTGCACTCGGTATCAGGGAGACTGATAATACCGTCGGTGCCTGTGCAATCGGTGTTCTCCGCCACGTTCCATGTACGGCAGTAGTCTACAGTCAAGTCGCCGGAATCATTTCTCTCACACAGCACCTGAAGCAGAAGATTCACCGCGCGTACTTTTTGGTAGTGGATACACATCGACATAGAGTCGCCTAATAATAACAGCATATTGGTGAAATTGAGAGCGAAGCATCTGATTGAGAGCGAGATTGCGCGATGCGCTGCAGCTGGACTACTGCTGAGAGGTGGAGCTTGCTGTGTAGCTTGAATTGAAGGGCCAGCCCGTAGCTACAAGCAGATACCCTGGTCATCCTGTGGGAGTCTCTCGATGTGGAGCTACAGCGGCGAGCAGAAGCTACAGCAGAGCCCACCGCCCGAGGCCAAACCGCCCTGCAACAGTTTGAGGCAGGAATAGCCAATCTGGGGAAATCTAGCAACTTGTCTAGCTCCTAGCTGCAGCATCCGATGACGATGACACGCATATGCTCGTGACGCTGCTGATGCGACCTTCAATTTGCGCCGCTTCTTGGAAGAGTGTTAAGGAGGATCCGATTCGCAGGGTATCCGTCGATTGGCTTTTACCTGAATCGGTACACCTTCGCATGTGGCGTCAGCGGCAGGATACTGGTTCGAATCTCCTTTGGTGCACACTTTTTCTCCTGACTTGGATATTTTCCCATGGACACAATGTGTGTCAGTCCTGAGAACACCTCTTGGAGTCGATCCTGAAAGAACCTTGTGACACTTCCATCGAATTACCCATCCTGGCCACAAGAGGTTCCCAGTTGAGGGTAAATTCTGTGGGTGGAGAGTGTTAAGGAGGACTGGATTCGCAGGGTATCCGTAGATTGGCTTTTACCTGAATCGGTACACCTTCGCAAGAGCCCGCCCCCTACTTCCCAAGAAATGGACCTGAATTATTATTTTTTTGGCTCTCGCTGTCAATTTCATGCTTCGCTCTCAATTTCACCATAGACTATGTTGTTTAATGTGATTTGTTCATCAGAAATTGTTTGGCGGTGGATGTCGATCGAGAGCCGCACGTGCTTCGATCTTCTGAAAAACGGTTTACGAGGTGGATACCGATCAAGTGGATAAAAATGGGTTGTTATTGGAACGTGTTGCCCTTCTTCATGCAGTTGACAATCAATCGCTGTTTCCTTGGTGAGTTGCGGCGACCTGCGCAAGGAAGGGCGAACTCAAGTCCGGCATCCTTTTTTTATACGCCGACACATGGCCTCTCGTTGTACTCACCATCCAAAACGAGCCCTTGAATGCCTTTCAGCTTCTTCCTCCCTCGACGTCCCCGCAACCGTCCCCGTCCATTTCGAACCCTAATAATGGGTACCGGTCCTGGCAATCCAACCCGTATCTCGTGCATGAGGCATCCGCAAACGAGCCAATCCAGCTGAATGCACTGCTCATGTTCGATCAACGTCGTCGTTGACCCTCAAGTGTGTCTGTACGGGCCGACCGGCATTGCGAGCGAGAAAATATCATCGATCTGGCGAAGTTTGCGATTTGCCCATGGCAACGGAGGGGGCTGAATATCGAAATCGCAGAAGGTTCTCTCACCAACATCGCCTAGACGCGAAAAAAAATAAATGTATTACAAATACTGTAAAGTTGGTTTTTGGTTGGCTGTTAATGACTGTCTCAAGAATCAATATTTGTTTCAAACGAGTGGATATCTTTTGGAATATGGGTGTGTGTTGGGTTTCGTACATTATTTGTCAATGCCGTCGAATTCCGTTGAATATTCCGTGGAATGCCATAGAGGTCCATGGAGGTCCACGACACTCCATGGAACATTCAATGGACCTTCATGGACTACATGATGGAAACGAAGGTGCGGCATGGAGTTCGATGGAGTTCCATGGAAAGCTGTGGAATTCCACGCAACTCAATCGAACTACATGGAATTTCACGACGGCCCATGGTGCGCCATGGAACCCGGTGATGGTAGAGTCCACGGCTATTCTGTGGAATTTGCCACGGAACGTGCCGTGGAATTTTCCATGGAATGTTCTGTGGAGTTCCATGGCTTGCCACAGTTTCCGCAGAGTTCCACGGAAACCAAGGAATTCCATAGAAATTTCTACGGTTTCCATGGATGAAAACGCCCATGCAGCACCAACAAGGGGAAAAGTTTGAGGCTCGAACCCCTGTCAACTGTCCTACAGGAATTACCATGGACCGCCTTCGCGTTAGGCGGGACGGCCACCTGGAGGAAAAATCAACGCCCGCCCGGGAGGAAAACATGATGTGTGAAAAAGAGAGGGTGAGACAAATTGAAAGTGGAAGGACTAAGTGCCGTACGAAAAAAATGACATAAATTATGACAAGCAGTTGGTGTGTCGAAAATTAGTAAGTATATTGAATGTATAGTATGGATACAACGGACATCACGCAACTGCGGAACCCGGTCTTCGCACTCGGAGCCGAATTCGTTCACATTACTTGAACTAGGGGGTGCCCGATTGTACTGCTGGTACTCAACACCTTCTTGTATTATCCTAAGTGTCCCGTTCAAATCCACTGTGTGCTCTCTTTTGGGGCAATGGACATAAAAAAATAACAAGAACCCCGTTCATCGTAGGTAGATGTTTGCTCTAAACAAGAACTTGACACTTAAGGGCATGGGCTCTACACGCTCTTGTATTATCCTAAGTGTCCCGTTCAAATCCACTGTGTGCTCCCTTTTGGGGCAATGGGCGTAGAAAAAATAACAAGAACCCCGTTCATCGTGGGTAGATGTTTACTCCAAACAAAAGCTTGGCACATAAGGGCATGGGCTCTACACGCTCTTGTATTGTCCTAAGTGTCCCGTTCAAATCCACTGTGTGCTCTCTTTTGGGGCAATGGGCGTCGAAAAAATAATAAGAACCCCGGTAATCGTAGGTTGATATTTGCTCCAAACAAAAGCTTGGCACATAAGGGCATGGGCTCTACACGCTCTTGTATTGTCCTAAGTGTCCCGTTCAAATCCACTGTGTGCTCTCTTTTGGGGCAATGGGCGTCGAAAAAATAATAAGAACCCCGGTAATCGTAGGTTGATATTTGCTCCAAACAAAAGCTTGGCACATAAGGGCATGGGCTCTACACGCTCTTGTATTGTCCTAAGTGTCCCGTTCAAATCCACTGTGTGCTCTCTTTTGGGGCAATGGGCGTCGAAAAAATAACAAGAACCCCGTTCATCGTAGGTAGATGTTTGCTCTAAACAAGAACTTGACACTTAAGGGCATGGGCTCTACACGCTCCTGTCCTGTATTATCCTAAGTGTCCCGTTCAAATCCACTGTGTGCTCTCTTTTGGGGCAATGGGCGTCGAAAAAATAACAAGAACCCCGTTCATCGTAGGTAGATGTTTGCTCTAAACAAGAACTTGACACTTAAGGGCATGGGCTCTACACGCTCCTGTCCTGTATTATCCTAAGTGTCCCGTTCAAATCCACTGTGTGCTCTCTTTGGGGCAAAGGGCGTCGAAAAAATAACAAGAACCCCGGTAATCGTAGGTTGATGTTTGCTCCAAACAAAAGCTTGGCACATAAGGGCATGGGCTTGGTTTAAGGCAACCAAATCGCGTCGAGCCTCACGCAAAAGGTTGTTTAGCGAGTTTTTATTATGTCCAACGTGAACGTCCAATAGAGTAAATACCTTCACGTCGTGCAAGTTGGGTCGTGCAGTAGTTTGTGTCGTGCAGTAGTTTGCACAGATGGTCTTTCCGTGTGGTGTCGATTCTGGGATTTACTCCGTTCGTTGGGGTCACACAGTTCTGAACCAGGTGTTCATAATTGAATTGTTGAAATTCGTGGAGGCCGTTGGCAGGGGAATATAGTTAGCGGAAACTTGGGCGTCGGGAATGAATGTGTATGCGGATGATATTGTTATGGATGTCTGATACCGTGAGGGACTTCAACTAACTGCAGATTGACGCAACGAAGGGTTGTGCTGACAAGTAGGGACTGACTGTCGCCAAACGATAAGAAGAGTGCACTGGTATGCAACGAGGATAGATGAACACATGTCCAAGGTCGTGGAGAAGGGCAATCCGCGAGCAGGGAAGCTGCACCCAATACTCGCAAGCAGGCACCTCGATACAAGTACGCGCATCAAATTGACGGTTGTGAAGGCAAAATCGTACCGCCGCTAGAGTACGCCGGAGAAGCATGGCAAGGGAATGAAAAGGTGTCAAAGAGCTGGTGGCGGCGCAGATGAAAGTAGCAAACGTCATTCGCCAAGCGCACATGTAATGCAGCAGCAAGGGAAGAACTGTGTAGGGATCCGATCCCTACGATTGGGAAGAGACGCGAAGAAACTATAATGATGGCAGGACCCTATGCATGTACGATATGGGAGAGAAGATAGATGATGTTGAGATTAGCTTGGGATGCCAAGCGGGCAAACAAAGAGAGGGGTAGACAACCCACGGAGGAGTGAGTTTAAGGTTGTAGGTGACATATGGAAGGAGTTGGAAGACGACGAAGTTGATGGGCGTGGGTCTGCGAACATTGGTGTTGGATACATGTGCTGGATGATTTTGTGTCACGCAGACTGGTAAGATTGCCGTTTGATAGGGGGCACCCCGATGATCCACGGGGCCCCTCCGTGCTGTGGTAGCCGCTCTTTGAGCACTCCCTCTTTCGTCCATGTGAAGGACGGTCGTCTACCTCTCGTGAAGTTAATACATCACCAAAACAGTCCCACCCGATAAATAAGTGGCGTAGGCCGTAAACAGTTGATGCATTGGAAACGGTAGGTAGGTCTAGAAGGGTTCAAACGATACTGTAGCTAGAGAGAGAACATACCCTACCGAAGATACCAAGGTTAAAGGTCTAAATGTGTACAGCATGTCGAAAGAAGGAGTAGGCTTCAAGGAGTACCTACATTGACCGTGGATGCAGCGACAAAGCTGAAGGTTAAATTTATGGCTGGGGACATTCGCCTTCGAGAAGTTAGACGGAAATTTGAGAAGGTAGACGATGACGACGACAGCTCGAACGTGAATGCTGCTCCGAGTGCGAATCCATGTCGGTGCGGAATGCCCGTAATACGACAATGAGATTGTGAATACTGCTGGGAAAAGTAGACGAAAGGTACAGGGAGGTGTTTGAGGCATGGAATAGCCAGGAGAAGACCGTAGCTGCACTGGGGCATAGCCTATTAGGAAGAAATGGGGTGAAGCGCCGAGAAGTAATATCGGTAGGATAGATAGGCTAGGGAAAACATCTTTGAGCGACCTCTGGCAAAGTAGGAAGGAATGATTGGCCATCGGTGATCGGCACTATGGGAACAATGCTCCGTCCTCTCGAGGACGCGTGGTAAATGGTCCAACCGCTTAAGCACGAAAATCATGAGAGTACACCCTCCGCCCCCATTTGGACCAAAATTGAAGCCCGTCAGTCTATGGGCGATGCATGGTTTCCAAAAATATGGCCCTTTGAATGTTTTGCGACATAGGGAATGGCAGTAAAGGCACATGCACCGTATGAAAAAGAAATTAATACATACGTACTACATGCAAACACACACATACACCGTTGAGGATTCTTCCCCTTTTACCACAGGCACTGGTAGGGGAAAGGGGCTATACAAGATGGATTTGGTAATCCCCCCAGGATTACATGCAGGAGAGAAGGAAGAGGACCTCTGCACCAAGTCCATTCTGATCGACGTAACAATCGTCAACCCATCAGCAGGTCGAAGCATCGACAAGTCGATCCTTAAGCCAGGATCAGCCCTCGAAGATCGAGCTGCAAGTAAGGCAAATCACTATGCGGGAACTTTCAACCCGTCTAGATCTACCCTCCTTACTGCTGCTTTTTCAACGAATGGTGGTCTTGGCAAAGGCACCAATCGACTCATCGTTGCTATCGCCAACCACTTGGCGCACGAAGCTTTTTGCCGGGAAAATTTTGACGACGAGAGGGCCTTAGTTCGCCTGAAAGCTTTTCATACTAACAGGATTCGGAGACGGTTTACCTTCGAGCTAGCTCGTTTTCTGTCGATGCGAACTCGCGATGTGTTCAAACGTCATGGGCTACTGATCGACCAACTTCCACCAGGGCCAATCGGTTGGGATCTCTGCGACAACGATAGTGGTGAGAGTAATTCTTTTGGGAGTGACGAAGACGAAGGAAAGGGAAAGGGGAGAAAGGAGGATGACGACGATGGAGCAGAAAAACATGGAGGAGTGGAAGAGAGCAAAGGGTTTGAGCCAGATGACCTTCCCCACAACAAGAAACGTAGGGCTAGGGAAGAACTGCCCAGAGATTCTTCTTGTCGAAATGAGGATCAGAATGATGGTAGCGAAAACAAGGAGGACACTGGTGAAAGTACTCCTAAACGAACTCGAGTACTAGGTAATAGCCTTGGTAGACGCGTGCATTTTTCGTCTGTTGCTGCTGTTTCTGTTTTTAATCCGAAGGATGGTTTAGCCTCCCCCATGCTGCCCCCTCACGGGGTCCCAGTTCATGGTAGATAGAAGTGTTTTGTGTTTTCAACCGCACTAAGACTGACGTCTTTTCATTGGTCAGCCGATGAGCGCGGTCGATGCTAGTAATAAAAACACATACACACTGGCCTACGAGGTGTTCTGCATAGAAATTTCGACGACGAGTCCGCCTTTCTTCGCCGCAAGGCTTGCCATACCAACAGAGTTCGGAGACGATTACCTTCGAGCTACACTACTTCGATCACGATCAGTACGACCTCGTGACTTCAACAAACATCATGAGCTGCTGATCGACTAAATTTCACCACGGCCAATAGGTTGGGAGTGTTGTAGTGCCGTCGAAAAAAATATGGTGATGGTATCGAGGGTCATTTTCGATTGATCAAAGGGAAAGAGAAGAAAAGGAGCAAGATGAACATGGTGATGGAGGAGGGAAACATGGCGTGGAAGAGAGCACGGGTTTTGAGTCAGATAACTGTTCTCACAACAAATGCCGCAGGCCTAGGGAGGACCTGTCGGAATATTGGCCTAGAACCCGGGAAAGAAGCAATGCCCTTGGTTCACTAAGGAATATTGAGCCTAGCCCCGCCACAAGTCACGGCAGCTGCGCTGGCAAACCACCGCAAGGCCTCTGGTCCTTCGACTTCAAAGCCTGGCGCTGCTGACCACCCAAGCGCTAAACACAAACAACGATTATCTCGGGGCGTGGACTACGTGAGGATATCATAGCCGTTTGCTGCCAGGATGCCTTCCATGCCATCAAGGTGGGCAGATCCGACCACTGCCACGGATGCGTGCTTCGCTTCCAGTCCCAGCCTCGGTTCCAAAGCCATGAGACTGCTGGCCATCACCTGAACGACAGGACCGCGTGTCGAAATAGTACTGTAGGATGTGCAGTAAAGACAGACACCTCAATTGGACATTGGACGTGTACAATGATACATACGTAACAGAGAACTGATGAAGCACGTCTCAAGAACTACAAGTTTGCGTCGGTTGGTAAATGATAGCGAGGAGCTATGTACAGGTTGGTAGTTGTAGCAAAGAGGTTGCATCACATGCCGCACTCCCCAACTTTCCAATACATCAGATATCTAAACTTGAGCTAGGCTCCGGTGCCACCGTCAGGCCATGACGAAATTCCCAAGGAGGCCACAACAACATCGCCACAAAGTCTTCGGCCTCTAACGAACTTGCCACAACGCCTTCGCGCGAACCTTGGATTAGGGGTGTGTACTCATGCCCGTTCATGCTGTCGTCGTTAGGCCATTTACCTCTGCTGTAGGAGGGGAGGAAATATGCCCGGAAGTATGCCCGGAAATATGTATGGCTCAGCAGCTTTCACATTGAGGCGCAAGGGGACATATTGATCACGGCATTGGGAACATAGTGGGAGTGCTCTATAACTCCGGTGGGATTCACCCCCGATATTGCAGCGATCCAAACGGTTCGGAAGCTTGATGTACATTCGTACATTATTTGATTAGTTTCGTGCTCGGTACATCTTTCTCTGGCGGCAATGCACGTGTTCTTGCGCGCCCTTGTCAGAGGCACGTCTACCCGTCGCAACGGGCGCAGCAACGGGCCCAGCGATGTATACTGCTGTAGACAACTCTGAGCAAATGCACCCACGGTGAGAGGTTGGCATTCTGCTTTTTGGGGAGAGTGCGTTCTCGGCTCTTCTCGCGGTGTATCGGATTGAATAACTGAGCCGTATCAATAGTGTGATCGTGAGGAGTATGAACTTAACCCCGAACGAAAAACGAACATTGATTGGTACGCCGGGGAGCATGACATGTACCTGCCACACGAGTGGTAACCCCACATGAGCGCAGTGAGAAGGAGAGGAGCACTCAAGCGGCAAGGCATACCGCAGGTACGTGTGACGCTCGCGTTTAGAGCTGGTGTGCTGATCCTGGAACGTTTCAACCGTGAACTCATGAACAAACGAGACGTGTAGTCTACATATTACTTTTTTCGTGTTCATGACCTAGTATGCAAGGAGATCAGTCGAATGGCTTGAACGGCAAGAATGCCCCGTCAAGCAAAACGAAGAGCTGAAGTGCGACGATGCTTGAGGCTACGATTTAGGAGGAAAAAGTTGGAGATGGAGGTCTCGATGTCATCGTTTCCTATATTTCACGTCCTCTGCCGTCAATCGTATTGTTTCCGACATTTGGAGGGGTGGGGGATGGTTCAAGAATCGTCCTCGTATCCTTTTTCACGCGTGCCCCCTCCGGTGGAAACGCCTTGTCGGACCACAGAATGTTGGAACTCTCTTCCACGATGACTGGAACCAACAGTGTGATCGTGACGCCATCTCTGTCTCGAGCGGATCAGCCTACACCCGGTAGGTACCCAGGTGAGAGACACCGAGATATTATCTAATAGTGAAAAATGCAACAAATAGGTTGAAGTGTGTTTGTGATCTGTGGGTCCGCTGGGAAATGAGTAACCTAATGGAGTTCGGGGGGAACAAAGTTGATCAGAGCGAAGGCGAAGGCCATCCTCTACAATTCTCTATCTTCACGACAGCATTGAGATTCAGAAAAGAGAAGCTTCAGTCGATTGGAACGCTGGTGAACACAGACAAGAACCAAGTGGCTTTGTGGACATACCAAGAGCTGCTGGATGAAATCAAGAGCAGCTTTAGGAGGAAGAGCAAGTCGGAGTTGTGTCGACTTTGCACGTATACTTGGGCTTTCCAGTAGCACTTGAAGCGCAGAGCTGGTGGAAGCTTTGGCGGCTTCGTGCAGAAGCTGCACAAACTACTACATATCATGGACCCTGGCTGCCCGGGTACAAACGAAATCATCTTCCTGGTAGTTTCGCTAGAGGTACATGAAAAGGCAATGTACAGGGGTCGAAGCCCTTTTATGCCTCCTTGTTTGCCCTATAAAAGTGTCGAAGAGGCGGCGGTCATGCCGCATTTACGGCAGACGGACAATCTCTTCACGGCACGGTCTCACCAGACGCTGTCAAACTCCGAGCTTACTCAACTCCCTCAACGACGAAAAAGAAACTCAAACCCCGTCTTAAGGTGAAGGTTGTCACTCGTAGCTCTGATTATCACATACACCGCATGTTGCTCTGTGCGAACCTTTCACTACCGTTATCGTGTCCATCCGTTCTCTGCAAGAGAAGCCATGCCAACCTTAGACAACTTATTGCTGTCCAGCAAGCTGTCATGCTACTTGTCACCTACCACAATTGAGAAGGAGACCATCACGGACGACGAGCGGATGAAAGAACGTTCACTCCATATACCCAGCCAGGATGAACTGTACTCATCTACAAAGGTTGAGCGGACCAAGGAGAATTTAGCTGTAGACATACAGTACCCGCAGTGGTAAGGCCACCGGCGCTACACCGACAGAAATATACGAGCTCACCTCGTCTCGCTCGCGGACAACAACGTCGAACTCCTTTGGCCCCAAGAGCTTATACCACTCGCTGTGCTTTCGGACAATTGCGCGCGTCTCTGGCATCTAAGCGCATTCGAACAGCACATTACCAACGGGGAATTAGACATGGGGCAAGAACTTGTGAGCAGAAACGAAAAGTGCAACATCAAGAGGAAGCGGCGACTAGTACCAACGACAAACATATCCGTGCGCGGTAAAATATATTACCTCCAATCTCCAACAGACCACCTAGTGCTGAGAAGTGGTGCCGTAGAGGATTTGACGTGTAGAACGCACAAACCAACGCTTGATAGGACTGCAAATCCCGAGACTCACGAAAGCCGGCTAGGCTGAACCTCCTTCCCCCACACCTCGAATCCAAAGGACCGTCGGCGCTCGATCAGTGCCGTCAACTTCTGCAACTCCTTCCCAGCTCTCTCGAGCTCTTTCCGCTCGGTGCCTGTGATCTCGGCAAGCATCTGAGAGTCAGCACGTTCCGCCTCTCGCTCTCGGCGTTTCGACACCTGACGAGAACCGTAAGCAAGGGCGGGGGGGGCGAGCATGTTCAAGATCCCCTACGATCGGAGGGGAGGTGTACCATACCATACCTACAACTGACCTGGGCACGTGAGAAGATATCATGGAGCACTGACGATTGAGAACATCGGCAACCATTTAGCAAACCGATCGACCTTTCCTGAGCGAGTCTGAGGTCCTCCTTCTGCGCTACAGAAGCAAAAGGTACCGGCAGTCTAGTTGGTGCCAGAATGGGTGGCGGGGGATTCACTTTTACAAAGCAGTACCCAACGGAGCAAAGTCACAGTGCCGAAACACGGCGCGCTGAACCCGGGGGGTACGTGTGACCATTAATTGGCTGTTCCTTCTGATTGATGACCTCCTGGGGAAATGGTTGAAAATGAAAAAAAACTCTGGGGTACCAAGCCCCCCCGAAACAGATCGTGTTTGCATGTATCGCCCGTATACCTCGTTGCTCCTGTCGCCAAGAAGAACCCGCGCTCGGCAGGCCTGGGCCTCGCGGCCTGCTGTCCATATTTCGCTGACGCCTACGTGTTCGTCCTGGTAAAAATTTCTTTGGTTTCGTGTCGTCTTTCGGGGCTTCGCTTTCTTCCTGTTGCTGACAGCTCCAGGTCTCCGCCCTGCGAAAGTCCAGAGTGACGGAAGACCAAATTCGGGGATACGATCGCAAGCGAACTCGTCCGTGCGTAGTTGTACGGAACGTAACGCCCAGAAGATTGATACAAATCTTCAGATGAGAGTACTAGTTTCAACGCCAAGCAGAAATAATTCCCGAATGTTGACAGCGTTGTCTGACCATCTGGAGACATCGAGCGTAACCATTCCGCACGAAAACCCATCTCCTCACACCCAACGGCGAGTTGGCATATTGTGTAGTGGCTCTTATCACAAGCTCACGGGATGTACAACGGCCATGTGGTCAAAGCTGCAAGATGACAATTCGTACCACGGTGGCGGGGTTCGAACAACCCTGATTGCCTACCTTTAGCTTTCGCAGGTTTCCACCACCAGAGCTTGTCCTCACCCTGCGCGACAACAAATACCAAGGGCGTCAAGAGCAGCGAAGAGAGGGGGCGAGTGCACAGAGTATGGCCGATTGTTGTACGCACGCTCGTTTCAAGGGTTTTCAGGAGCGAACAGGGATGGGGCGCCTCCTTGCTCATGTAACCATCACAATCGAGAGTCACAACTCAATGGTGTTTCGGGAGCAATAGGGAATGGTGCGACCCTTGCTCATGTAACCATAACAATAGAGATTCACAACTTGACCCTCTCGAACACAGGTGAAAGTACTGTAACAGCGACGGGATCCGAAATCTGCGCCAGCGACCATCGCACACCTGATATGGTGTCCCTGGGGGCAAAAGGAAAGTCCTCTCTGCATCCAATTCCAGCATCACGACTTGTGGCTTGATCTCCCGGATCACGCTCTGTACCAACTGCTCGACACGGTTCCACAGCACACATTCAAGGTCATTTGTATCACAGTTGAAAAGGGGCAACGCCTCTGCACGGGTGGACAACACGCGCCTTCACCAAATATTGTGAACAAGAATCCTTGGAGAGTTACTGCAAGGGGGGACAGACGAAGGGAAGTTATCCCGAAACGGCCAGTGCCCGCCGGCAGACCACAAGAAGATAACAAGTATCTAGGTTGACAGCATGCGGTTGAACTCGACGCAGCTCATGAAGCATGACAAAAACGAACAGCTACGTCGACGGTCGGAAGGTACTATTTAGCACGCATTGACGGAGCATTCCAGACTTGCCACCGATCATGTACATGGCGTCGCCAAACAATCCAAGAGCAAATTGAACGCAGCCCTATTGCGTACTTTTCTGGGAGGTACAAGTCATTGCTCACCTGCACATAAGGCTCCGCTTGGTGAATAATTCCCAGCAGCCAGATCTCCGACCCTGTTGATGGGTTTCGAATGTGGGAAACGGCGTCGCTCTGTAGGCATTCGGGTAGCTGATCATTCGCCGGCGTTGTCACCGGTGACACTGGGACCACTGGGGTTTTAGTCGATGCTCGCAGTCCGTAGCTGTCACGTCGGATTGTTATAGGAGAGAGAGAGAGAGAGAGAGAGAGAGAGAGAGAGAGAGAATCTCAGGAGACCATGGTAAACGTACCCGCCTGTTTTCGGCTGGCGGAAGCGAGTCTTGCCTCACGCTTCCTGCTCAGGGGCACGCAGGGATGCCGACGGTGCAGTACCACGCACGCCCGAGGACCGTGGCACTTGTGCTTGACGCCCAAAGTCAACAAAACTGGCTCTATACCCCCTGGCTGTTCCGCGCAAAGAAACTCTCGCAATAAATACAAAAAACCTGCTGTGATAAAACTGATTCCTGCGCAACGCACACAATTCCCACAGACCATGGGCAACACGATAACATACAAAGGGGGTGATCAAACGCAGTGGATTACAGCAGTATGACCCGCAGCATAGACGCCTCTTGCAGCACACACACACTATAATAACGCACACCCGAAAGGTCACATAGAGCGAAGAAATACCCAGCACATGATTCAAACACCACGCAAATTCTGCAGGTTGTCTGCAGGTTGTATGCACGCAAAACCGGTACTACCGAACGTCATGACGTTGAGATGCAACGATGCGACCACGATGACGTCGGATCCTCTTGCGTCGCCCCCAGGAGGCACGCCACGTACCGTAGGCGACACAAGATATTGCACCCCCTGGAACTGCTTTCAAAGCTCGATTACTCCACGACGAAGAGAATGCACAAATGATGCCTGGTCGAAAAGCTCTCGACGAGATGGTTTCAACGCCGCCGTTTTCGGCAGCGCCACTCTTTCTGCTGCGAGGTGAAACCAAGCTTGGAAAATCGCTCCGTGGGGTGTGGTATCTTGAGGACCAATAACCAGAAACGGGTATACCCGGGTACTTCATCACAACTTTAGGGTACAGTGAGAAATCAACACGCTTGCACCCCCAGGCTGTCAGCTATTTGACCGGAAAACCATTGTACCCATTTCTGAAGAAACCTCCATCGGGTACAACTTCCGCTGGAATTAGGACCGTCTGGTGTGACCGATATTGGTTCCTGGTGTACCCGGACGAGGTCGGTTTTGTACCCAGAAATGGTCATATAATCCCGGCGCCCAGCGCTCTGTGGTGTTGAGACTGGGTACAATGTCATCCCAGGAACAGCAGGTGAAAAAGGGCCACAGACCGCTGAGGGCGGCAGTGCACAATATCACGATATATCGAGAGTGGAACCTAGCTAGGCCAGGTGTTGATTCGGCGATGACGAGGGTATGAGAGCATTTTATGGAGCTGAGGGCTCGGAGCGTTATAATGGGGATGGCGGCCGGCGGTCCCAACCAAGAGTGATTTTACGAGGGATGGAGGAACGAAGAGCATCGGCGGCACCGGCGAGCGCGCCGATGAGTTGCGGCAGCGGAAGCTCCAGCATGTGTGCGGGGCCGATGCAACAGCAGCAGCAGCAAGGTATGGGTTGCACTCGCGATTGGAGGAATGTCGATGCGGCTGGTGGGTTTTATGTCGGGAGTGAGCCGAGGAGATTTTCCGGGCCTCCTCAGTGCGATCGATGCGGGCGTTCTGGACACATCAGCACCAAATGCCTGGCACCAAACCACGAAATGATCAACTGGAAGTACAACCGGTTTCACGGGCCTCCTCAGTGCGATCGGTGCGGGCGTTCTGGACACGAAAGCATGAAGTGCCTGGCACCAAACCACGAAATGATCTACTGGAAGTACAACCGACCTGGACCGTTTCAGCAGCAGCGGAGGAACGGCGAGTTTGGCGGCGGGTTTGTGTGTCGGCAGCAGCAGCAGCAGCAGCAGCAGCCAGGCGTGGTGTACGGCGGTGACTCTCAGCAACAGCCGCGGCAACAACAGCTCGCGGACGGCCTCACCGGGGGTGCAGGTGGACAGGTGAGTGGTGGGGTGTTCGTTGGTGAGAGGGGGGGGGGGGCTGCTGCCGGTTCGTCTGCGGTGTAATTGCCGGTGAACGCCCCCGCCAACGTCCCTTCTCTCAACGTAAACAAACACTCCACCACTCACTCTCCCGAGCGGCCCGCAACATCACGTGTAGCATCTGCAGTAGTGCGGCAACGCGATGAGCTGGACCTCATGGAGGGCGGATACAGCAGTAGACTTGTAGCGGAGGAACACATGATCAGATCGTATCACGTTGTAATTTCGCCGTCCGCGGAATCACAACAATCCAAGCATTCGTCGGAAGCGGCAGCAGCAGCAGCATCTTCCCTGGTCGCCGCGTTGGCGCCGGGTACTCGGACGGACGCAGCGTCGATGGCGGCGGCGTCGGTGACAGGGGGAACGGCAGCGGCAGAAGCAGCTGCGGCGTCCCCGGTCGCCGTGTTGGCGTTGGGTGTCCAGACGGCCGCAGGGGCGGCGGCGTCGATATCGGTGACGGGGGAACGGCAGCGGCGACAGCAGCAGCGGCGTCCCCGGTCGCCGCGTTGGCGTCGGGTGTCCAGACGGCCGCAAGGGCGGCAGCGGCGGCGGCACCGGTGACGGAGGTATGCGACGAAGAGTTGGAGGAGGCGGTTGGTGCGACAACGACGCCGTTGCCAGCCCTGGAGGAGCTCGATGGCCAATGTGCTGGGGTGGACGTGAACAACAGCAGCAGCAGCAGCAGTAGCAGCAGCCGTAGCAGCGAGGACAGCGGTGGCGATGGGAGCGGGGACGAGGGGTTGGATGACTTCTGGAGTGGAGCTCCGACGCACCCTTTCGACCCCGGTAAGACATCTTCGCGTGGCGCGATGGGACGGGGGGCCGTACCAGGGGTTGCGTACCCCTTCGGTAGGGGCAGGAACGGGAGTGGAGCGGCGGCGGCGACGGCGGAAGCCGCAGCAGCGACGTGAGCGGCGGCTGAGCTCCGGCGGCGACACCGGCGGCAGCAGGAGCAGCGACGTGAGTGGTGGCTTCGGCCAGAGCTCCGACGGCAGCAGCAGACGGCAGCGGCGGCTTCGGCCAGAGCCTCGTCGGCGGCAGCGGCGACAACGGCGGCGGCGGTAGAGGCGGCAGCAGCGACGTCACCGGCAGCCGTGTTGGCGCTGGAACTCATGACGGTCGTGGTAGCGGGGGAACGGCAACAGCGGCGGTGGCAGCGGCGGCAGCAGCGGTGGCGCCCTCGAGTCGACCGGGAACGGGGAGGACACGGTGACAGCGAGGGCGCCACCTCTGCTGCCGCCGCCTACTTGTGTGCGTAATTTTTTTTTTGTTGTACTTGGTTTCATGATAATCATTGTACGCTGCGACAAGATAATCATTGCCACAACCTGTGGAATAGGAAGCAGCACGTGGGTATTTTTTTCCTTGGTTCTTGGTATATTTTCAGTCGCGTTTAACCTTACAGCTGAATGCTTCATACTATTTGCGTATTCTTTGGAGGGAGTACGTTCAGTCGAGTTTTTTTTTCTACGGGGCACTTTGCACTTAGAATGTTTCGATACATTGGTTTTAATGTGAGGTCCTGAGTTAAGTGGTCGCTCTCTGCGGCGTGTTTCTGGCCGCGCGCACGAAATGGGATGATAGCGGGTTGTTTGACATGCATGAAGGCATACCGATCAGGGAGCAGGGGGGCTTTCGGAGTTCCAGCTGAGGAGACAGTTTGCATACGGTATGAACTTATTCTGAAGTTTGATGCCTTGTGCGATACGTGTTTTCATGTTGTAACGCATGTTTTGCTGCTCTTGCATCGAAAATCATGGGGGGGGATGTCATGATGTCATGTATGACCACGATTCTAGAGGGCATGAGCAGCAATCGAATTGGTTCGTTTTCTGGTCGCGCCTACTTGTGTATTAGGTGCACGGCAAAGCAAGGGGGCTGTTGGCATCGAAATATTAGCTCGGGGTGAATTTTGGGAGCTGACAGCAGGGGGGCTGTTTGCGTGGATGCTTGCTTACGTTTTCGATCGTTTCTTGGATAACAGCGACGGTACCGACTAGCGGGTGCGCGCTGTTTAGGATTTGGTCCTTGGACGCTGTATTGGAGGAAGGATTTGACATGTTTTGACGATATATGGTTGGGGCCGTTGTGCTTTCCGAATTCTCGTTTTGATTGGTCAGGAAGTTGAGTTTTTGTTTTGTCGGAGGATTTGGTGCCAACTCTTGCAAAGTTGTTGTTCCAGAAATATCCGTTTTCGTTCCGACGCCTTTCTGATGTAGCACAAACAATTGTTGGGTACCTTTCTGAGGATGATTCTTTTGTGTCAACGGTTTGAGATTATTTCCAGAGACGAACGCGTTGGATTCGTGAATAAACTGATGGATGGAGACGCTTTGTGTTGAATGTGTAGCCGGTTTTGTTGAATAAGTTTCTCAAGGGGTGTTTTTCTGTGTTGGCTGATTGCGCGTGAAGGGTTGCAAGATCGTACATCGTACCAAGTAGGAGGGCTGTTTGTGGTGCTTGGATATGAGTCCGATCTGTGCATCCTCTGTGGGGGATACGCGTATGGGAACTATGGGTGTGATGGATATGTATGCGGTTGGGGTCCAAGTGCGGTCCCACTGGGTGAGCTCACAGCGGTGTGCTTCCGGCACTTGCCTGAGAGGCTTGCGTGTTGGAGACCAGCTTGCCTGAGGGGTTTGCGTGACGGAAATATATAGTACATGGTCCTTATTCATCTGCTGTTCCTGGGAGAACATTGGTCGCCCCGGTGGTCTAGTGGGTACCCTCGCAGTCTGCTAAGGGCCAGGTCATGGGTTCGAGTCCCGGCAGCGTGAGTTTTTTCTCACTAAATAAATCCTGGTCTAGGATGAAAGCGACGCGCTGCAAAGCTCGTTGTTAGTAACCCATTCTCGACTTCGTAGGTCGCGAGGGAAGGGATTGCTGTACCCTTCTCGCAAAAAAAATATCTCAGGCAGGAACCGCAGGAGGGGGTCCAACCCCCCCCTCCTGTGTGACCCCGGTTGGGTCGTCTAGCTGGTAGAAGTGGAGGATAGGGGCCAGAGGGGCAGACGACAGAGTCCAATGATCGGAGAAAAAAAAATATATATATATATATTGCACCCAGTCTCAACACCACAGACCGCTGAGGGCGGCAGTGCACACTAACACCACCAACAACGCTCGCTCGTTCATCGTTCATGGGCACCGCCTCCATAGGATACCGGCCCTTTTCTCAACATAGGGTCGGATTCGCTTGACGCGCGTGTGTTACTGATCAGTAAAAGCACAGAGAGAGAAGAAAAACGGGCACGACCAGATGCCTCGTGCATCATGCTTCCGAGTCACAGGACACACACGACACAGACAGCGGTTCATTGGTTCGCCGCGATCTACTGCGGATGCTGTCGGAGATTGGTGTCGTGTTGATTTCCAAGTGTACCCTGAAATGGTGATAATCCACCCGGGTATACCCGTTTCTGGTTACTTCTCTATCTTGAGGGGTATCATCAACGACCAAAAAATCACGAACATTTCACGGAATCATTTTTTCTTGAACATATATGGAGGCGTATTTTCCCGAAAACATGAAAAGAAGGAGCCGGGATTTTTGGGGGCTTGCTACTTTCACGGATCCGTGTTTTCGACAGAAGCATCGGACAAGCGCACCGCGGGCGCTGTAACATCACTGAGAACGATAGAATGACCTGCCAGACTCACGTCCAGGTCTAGTGTGGAGATGGACAAGCAGCAGAAGCGGCGTTTAGTCCGTTCTTAGCCAAAAACTAGACATTCGTCGTGCTATCGTTTTCAACTGCTGGTGTTGGTGCTGGGGAATTCGTTTCACTCACACATTGCAAACGGAAACAGTGGAACGAGTACAGCAGCAGCACCAAGACCTCCAACGCGCTGATTCCTTCGGTTCGGCTGTCTATATGATACCATCTCCCGGCGCCTGCTGCTTCGTGGGTATTGGGTGCTTGGCTGCTGCTCAATAAGGTGTATGAGAGACGTGTGCCACCTCACCAAAATGCCGTTGGAAAAGTTTGGCGAGGTGATCTGTTCTTGGTCGGACTCGTCAACATCAATCCACAGCACCACGCAGCAGAAGAGCAACAGGGCCTCCGACACGCTAATTCTTTCGGATCGGCCATCTATATGATACTGGCCGTCAGCGCGGCTGCCGCCCTATGATTGTTGAGCTCGTCTACCTTTGGGTAGGTGGTGGTCAAAGGTGGGAGTTGCAACCGTGAAAAATGAGCTGGCAAACTGAAGAAATCGCAAGCAACACCTATAAATAGGTTGCGACACTCTGCCCTGCGCCTGTTGTTGCTGAAAACTGAAAACAGCAAGCCGGGTGGATACGATATTTCGAAGTGTGTTGTCCTCTGTGTCGGGTGCTGCTCATTGCGCTGNCAACCGTGAAAAATGAGCTGGCAAACTGAAGAAATCGCAAGCAACACCTATAAATAGGTTGCGACACTCTGCCCTGCGCCTGTTGTTGCTGAAAACTGAAAACAGCAAGCCGGGTGGATACGATATTTCGAAGTGTGTTGTCCTCTGTGTCGGGTGCTGCTCATTGCGCTGTCACCGCTGCTCTATGGTGAGAAACACCAAGTCAACCTGTTGTGTGCCGAGCAAAGCGACTATTCAGGGAAGGACACGTACTTGTTGCGATGACATTACGAATAGAACAAGCGAGAAAAAGTCGGGTTTTCTTTTCACCGTTCGGTGGAAATTGCACGACTTTTCCGAAGCGTTAATAACGAGCCTGTGAGTCACCTACGGTAACTCCCGAATGGAAGCCTTGTGGAGAGCAAGTACAGCAGTTCAGTGCAGCACCAGCCCGTTTGGAAAGAACGCGACTAGGTCGAGAATGAGCGTACTTCGTTGCGCCTTGCACGATACCTCCAGAATACCATTTCTGTTTCCGTTCAAACCCGACCCACGACATACTTTTTTTTTTTTGTCTTCACTTCAAATCAGCGCTTACAGCACTGGTGACGTTTACTCCAACCCGTGGTCACACAGAAGAGCCTCTCTCTACCCTCCCCTCCTGCGGTACTTTGCCTTCGATTTATTCATGCGAGAAGAGTTCAGCACTCTCTTCCCTCTGTGTACACACGAACTAGCGCTATCCACTAGGCCAGGAGCGGAAGCGAGAGACAAACTCACTTTGCAAGAAAAGCTCGTTTACGCCGGGATTCGAACCCCTGACCTGACCTCTAGAAGGCTTCGAGGATACCAACTAGACCACCGGGGCGACCGGTAATAATACTGATCGAGGGAGAACAAAGCCCGATTGCTGCGAGGCAACATTGAAATCTGGAGCTCGATTTCCTCGGGTGAAGGGTGCTGATAAACTGCAGCAATCATCCTAGGTATGGCTTTTCTCACCTGGGCTGTAACGGTCCCAGCTCCATGGTCGATCGTCCTGCTCCTCGATCTGCTACTGATCTCTCCGTTGCATGTACTTCGCATTTGCATTTAGATCGCAGCGGCGGCATGAGCTGCAGAACAAATGGACATGATGTCGGCACGTATGTAAGTGCCAGCAGGAGAACAATCCGTGCCCGTGCTCTCATGTCACAAACGAACCTCAGCAGGCCGGTGCCTGGCAGGTGCGAACAACAAGACGCAAGACACTCCCCACACTTCAACCCACAAACGATGTAAATCAGGCCCCCCACACTTCAACCCACAAACGATGTAAATCAGGGGCGACCCTATTTGCAGGATGGTCCTGCAACGAAAAGATGCAGGATGGAAAACGCCTCCAGAACCAACCCACCACAAACCCAGAACCAAGCAGCGAACCAAGTAGCTAGAACCAAGACACACAGAGAGATGAGGACCTGCTTTCGGACAGCAGCAGCGTCATGGAAGTAGAGGGCGGCCCCAACGATTCCACGAGGCAGCAGTCAGCAGTCAAGCGCACAAGACCAGCAGCAGCAGCAACAGGAAGCTAGAGCAGGGGAAGGAGCAGCAGGAGATTCAGGAATGTTGTGTGTTGTGTGTTTTCATCCTATTTAGCATGGCGACAGTCCCCCCATTTTTCGTGGTGAGACGTGTACTATACACTCTTCAGCATATGTAGAGTACTACACTTTTCAGTGTATTTTTTCGTACAACTACAACCATCCAGGGTCACATAGGAGGGGGTAAACACCAGGGCTTTTTTCTTCTTTTTGTTTCTTTTCGTGCCCCACCTTCCTCCTGCGGTGCGTGCTGATTTTTTTTTAACGCGACAAGGGTCCAGCCGTCCCTTTCCCTCGTCAACAGTGCTAACGTCGTAGTTTGGCACTCACGAGAGCTTCTTAGCTATATTTCGTTTTCACCCTCAAATTTCGTTAATTTTTCACCCCATGGGGATTCGAACTCACGACTTCTGCGACTAGCGGATTACGAGGATACCACTAGACCACCGGGGCGACCGGAATAACCCCAGAGCAAAAGGTGAGGAATGAGTGCTGATCGGCGCAGTGGGAAGGATGCAGGTCGGCGTCTTGACCCTAAATGGAAGATCAGACGAGCACTTGACACGCGATACGCGCCCGACCACCCGCCCGCCCACGCGCCAATAGCTTTATCATTTTGTCTCTCTTCTAAAGGTCAACAGCAGTCAAACGTAGGGCGTAAAATGCAACAAAGACAGCGTTGAGAGCAGCAGGAGCAGCAGGAAGAGATACGTCAACAGGAGATGTTTCGGGGGATGCCCAGGGAAGGGATGCAGTGAGGATCAACACAGAAGCAGATCGAAAAGCAAATAGTTTTTCAAGTCTTGTTGGCATGCGTGGGGCCGCATACGTGTGCCAGGATGCACGTACTCTGTGTGCACGCGGTGAGGATTTCACCAAGCAGTTCGAAAAACAAAAGGTACAGCAGTACTACTACTACTGTAGGTGGTTTACTCGTAGTCTCTGCATACTGCTGTACACAGCAGGGAAGACAAGCAGTCCGAATAGTATCATACACACACGTTCATCGAGCCTTGTTGTGTGCTTTGTCTGTCTGTCTTTTCTCCTATCTCGCTCCTGATGGCAGCAGATAGACGAAGGCGGAGGGAGATCAACGCTTGCGGCGAGAGGATCGGGGAGCGCGGAGCATTCGGGAAGCGTGGAGAAGGGAGCAGCACCAAGTAGTCCCACGAAGGTATGCTAGACCACCACAGACTATATGTGCTTTGTTTTATTTGTTTTGCCTTCGGGGAACGCATTTCTTGCATACTTTGACGCACGGAACTGTGCCGCCGTTGTCAGCCGACCAAAAGGACGTTGAAAGGAACGCACGTGGGTAAACGTGTGCATATGCATATGTATCGGCATGATCATAGGACGTGGGCAGTTCAAACTTTTACAATCAGTGTGAAACAGAACGCCCCGTATCCCGGCGTTGCCTCGAATCAGCTACTGTAGCAGCAGTAGATTTGGAGTCAGATTCCCTCCGCGGGTGATATTTTCATAGATTTACAGGTGAAAGCGACAGAGCTCGCGAGTAGGCACAACTCTCCTGAACCCTTTCGCGAGTAACCGATGGAACGCACGGCAGGAGGGCGGTGGCGCAAAAACGAAAAGACGAACATAAGAAACAAAAGTGGGGTACAGTGGGGCAAAGTGGGGCAAGGCAAGAGAAGAGAATGAAGAAAATATAGGCCGCTGTTCACCCCCTCCTTCCCTCCTGTATGACCGCGACGCATACGTCTGGTTGTACGGAGAAACACACCTGTTGGGTGGTACGCTGTGGTGGGAGGTATGAATTGTTCGTGATGATCGCGCCAAATTAATCCTCCACCCATCGGCTGCCACATGGCCTGTTTCCGTTGCCTGTCGTGCAGGAAGAATGGGTGTACAGCGCTGACGCCCTGAGGAGGGATCTCGAAAACATCCCCACACAGGAGGACATTACCCAGCTAGTATCGGCCGTGAAGGACGTGTGCGAAGAGCATGGGGTCAAGATGGCCGTGTCCACCTCTACTATGAAGAAGGGGGGCGCCCGGCTGGTCTCGACGACGTTGCTATGCGTACATGGCATGCCGCTACGCAAAAAAACAGCAAGTAGCGGTGAGTAAAAGATGCGTCATGATCCCTCTCTGCCCCCCCCCCTTGTTTGTCCCTTGTGAATGTGGGCTTACGGAACACACACGTGATGGGCAGCCGCAGTAGAAACCACCCGATTCGGAAATGTGGGGGAAATGTGTCACCAGGTGTATTGCATCACTGACTACAGCAAGAGCGACGCAGATCCAGGCGTGACGCGCGCTGCAGAGATGAACATGTTGGAGCTTGAGGAATATATGTTCCATGCAACCTAATATGTTTCAGTCGGTCTGCTGCCACTCCCCCACCCTTCACCTGTGCGGCAGACAACAACACGAAGAGCCGGAAAGGCGAAAGCCAGAGGACGGGCTGCGGCTGCAAGGCTGGTGCTGCGTGCGTGGGCTCTGCAGCCCTGCGTTGGAAGGTTGTTGTCATGCAAATACAGGGCTAGGAGAGACGAGGGGGGGGGAGGAAACACTTCTTCGTTCATGTTGCGAGCATGGAAGGTAGCACCTTACTCTCCTCTCGTCGTGTGTTTGATTCTACTCTATTTGAATCGGATGGAACGCACCAGCTTGTACACACATGCGTGGAGGTTCTAAGTTTGTTTTGGTTGACGTCAGCATGAGGTCGAGATTGTTTTGTTGGGGTGGTTCAACCTGCTAGAAAACACCAACACGCTGGTTGTGGTTTCTGCGTGACTGTTGTGTCGGACTGACTGGCCTTCAGATCAACATTCCATGGCCGATAAAGACGGACGTCTACAAGCACCCACGGTTGACAACGATGGAGTTGGAGCACCTGCACGCCGTCGACAAAGAGGCTGCGGATGTTCAACAAGCACAGAAGGGGCCATTGATGACCCCAATGAAGGCCATGCAGCGAAGCTCACTGGTATGTCGTCTAGCCTCGCTTGCTGGTGATCTAGGTAGTGTCGTTGCCCGCCTCAGCTCGCCGACATTGGGGGCGAACGTTTGTGTTTCGTTGGCGTTGAACTATAACGACGTGCTGTATAGTTGGACTCTTGCCGCAAGAGGCGCGATTGTAGGTTGACCTTGTGTGTTGATTGTGGATGTGTTCCAAACGCCCCCCGAAGTCGAGCGATGGGTACTCTCTTTTGGGCTGGGATGCCTTTCCCACGGGACACAATGTGTCCTCCCACCCCCCAACCGGGGCACAGGATAAACTAGGGTAGTCGGAAGTTTGGTGTTTGGCCCAACGAGTGTGTTGTCCGTGTTAGTCGGGCAACGTCGTACTTGGCCCAACAAATGTGTCGTCCACGCTACGTCGGTGCGTTTGTTCTCCGTTTCAGATGCTGGATTAAAACCGGCTGCGCAAGCGGTCGTCATCGAGGCGCTGCATGACCGAAAAGTGCACCCCCGGACCATGCAGAACGAAGTCATCCGACATCGTGAGGATGCACACCCGTTCGACGCTCAAGACTTGTTGCAGAAGGTGCGAATCGTTTTTTGTCTAGTCTTGTGGTCCTGAACACTTGCTTGTCGGTTGAGGCGGCGTGTGGAAAGCCATGGTTACAATGCGCCCTCCCCGTAGCCGATTAGACACGGCATGTCGTAACCTACCTTCGCCTGCCTCCATTCTTATCTAGGTCCAGGCATGCACAAAGGACGGAGGAGTGTACAAGGTCAACGTGACGATTGAGTGTTCTCTAGTGCAGTTGAAGGAGACCGGGCCCACCCCGCAAGACCGCTGATTTCTCTACGTAGACTGCCTCAAGGAGGCAACAGCAGCTGTAGGCTTGGGGGTCGAGACTGTACCTCCCGATGCCCTGCGGGCACTCGTGCGGCAGNTCGTCCGCCTGCCGACGAGCAGAGACACCGGCAAACGAAAAAGGGCACGCACGAGGGGGGTGCTGTGGTTGGAGTGGCTAGACGGGCGTACAATCAAAGCTACAGTTGAATTGCAGGGCCCGTGCTTCAGTGTGTGACACGCATCGTAGAAGCCCCGGCGCTCGGCCGCACGTTGTTAGTCGCGGGCCGTCGTCGGTGTTCGTGTTGGTGTGTGTGCTGGCGTGGCGAATGGGAGTACACTCTTTTCTTGGTTTCCGGTTGGGCTGGAGACACGCAAGTAAATATTTAGGGTTACCATAGACCGGAAGGATTCCGGACGTGGGGGTGCGGTGTTTCATGTGCGTGTGCCCGTACTTGTTCCGATTGTAGGATAATAAACTTGCGATTTTAAACGACAGAGGGTGTCCTCAACTTGTGGGCACGCCGGCCGCACGCCGCAAGCGATTGACCAACACCACATGGCTGACACTCAATTCCCGCAATATTGTTTTGACCCGCTTGCTTTCAAGGTCAAAGCCCCCTCCCCCCCGTACTTGAACAGTGGCCTCTTCAAATTGTTGTCACATAAAAAAACGCTTCGATCTCTCTACCCAGCCTTCATAACTGTCCGTACTGACCCAATACTTGACGCGGCCGATTCCCGTGGTCACAGGCTAACTTGCCCTATAAAGGTACACTCAAGTAAAATGGAACCGAGGGGTCCGCAAGCCAATTTACATCAACCACAGGTACTGTTGTAGTCAGGAGCCCACTGCTGCTCCCTCTCTCTGTGCGCGTGTGTGTTTTCGTCCTACTATTTATAAATTGTGGCGACAGTCAGTCCCTCCATTTTTCGTGGTGACATGCTACAACACGTTGCAGTGTGTGTAGAGTATGTGGGTTGTGGTTCAGTCTCCTTCCTTTCCTCTTTTCCGGTCGCCCCGGTGGTCTAGTTGGTAACCTCGAAACTTTCTAGAGGTCACGTTAGTGGTTCGAATCCCGGCATAAGCGAGCTTTTCTTGCAACGTGAGTTTTTCTCTCGCTTCCGCTCCTGGCCTAGTGGATAGCGCTAGTTCGTGTGTACACAGAGGGAAGCGAGTGCTGAACTCTTCTCGCAATAAATCGAAGGCAAAGTACCGCAGGAGAGGAGGGTAGAGAGGGGCCCTTCTGTGTGACCACCGGTTGGAGTAAAGGGCACTCGTGCCGTGAGCGCTGATTTGAAGTGAAGAAAAACGAAAAACAAAACAAAAAAATATAATCAAATCCTCTTTTTCCCCGGCTTGCACGCCACTCGACTATTACGCCACCCGGCTTCCACGCCACCAGGACTTCCACGTCGTTGCCTAGACTATATCTTTATATCAAGGCTTCCACGCCACCAGGCTTTCACGCCACCACCAGGGTTATCACATCCATCCGAGCTACCACGCTTCACAACAAAATAGGAACTAACTGGCTGACACGCCAGCGAATAATCTTCTGTATTTTCACCGTTCAGTGGCTACCAAGCCGCTGGCTCTTTTATTTCCCTTCACGGGACCCCGCGCCGAGGCACCAAGCCACCAAACATGGACCATGGGCCCCACAGAGGGGCAGACGAAAGTCCGATGCTGGCTGAAAAAAATAACATGAAAAAAACACCGCCGCTGCTGGGTTATCGATCGGAATGTTTTGGTTGCTGCGTGATCAAAAACGAGGCAGGACCGCCCGCGCGAGAGAGAATGTTAATGTTTGTTCTGTTGTTTGTTTTTCTCCCATCATTGGACTCTGTCGTCTGCCTCTCTGGCCCCTATCCTCCACTTCTACCAGCTAGACGACCCAACCGGGGTCAC